ATTTTGCAAAAATTATACGATATGGATATGGCATGGAGAGCGGCTAAACATGCATAGCACATCATCTCATAGAGAGGAAACTTGTGCAACCAATGTGGGCGATCATTTAGAGGACATGATACGTGATGTTGGCACAGAGCCTTTTAGTCGATCTCGTGTTTATGATACATTGTGTGGTGATTCAGAGACGCCTTTGTATCCCGGATGTACTAAGTACACACGATTATCAGTTGTGTTACGATTGTTCCATCTGAAAGCAAAGAATTGGTGGAGTGATAAGAGCTTCACAGAATTGCTTGTGTTGTTAAAAGATATGCTACCCGAAGGGAATACATTGCCAAACCGCAACTATGAAGCAAAGAAAATATTGTGTCCTATGGGTATGGAGTATAGGAAGATACATGCATGTCCTAATGACTGTATATTGTATAGAAAAGAGTTTGCAGATTTGCACAAGTGCCCGAGATGTGGACTATCACGCTATAAAGTCAAAGACAACGATTCCAATGAAGATGTAATTAAGACATCTGGTTCTGCAGCAAAAGTTTTATGGTATCTTCCAATAATACCAAGGTTGAAGCGACTATTTGCTAACGAAGAAGAAGCGAAGAATATAAGATGGCATGCAGATGAGAGGAAACGCGATGGCATGATTCGCCACCCGGCGGATTCTATTCAATGGAAGAAAATTGATGGGTTGTTTCCTGATTTTGGAAATGAGGTGAGGAACCTTAGGCTTGGACTATCTACAGATGGAATGAATCCTTACGGTAACTTAAGTAGCATTCATAGTTCATGGCCTGTTCTCTTGATAATATATAACTTATCTCCATGGTTGTGCATGAAGCGCAAATATATGATGTTGTCTTTGTTGATTTCGGGTCCAAAACAGCCCGGCAATGATATAGATGTTTATCTAAGACCCCTCATTGAAGACCTAAAAAAACTTTGGGAGGAAGGCGTTGAAGTGTTTGACCGGTATCGAAATGAGCATTTCAAGATGCGAGCCATATTGTTCTTTACCATTAATGACTTTCCTGCGTACGGGAATCTTGCCGGTTACAGTATTAAGGGACATAAAGCATGTCCAATATGTGAAGAAGACACGTGATACCATCAGTTAGTCCATGGAAGAAAAACTGTATACCTTGGTCACCGAAGGTTTCTCAGACGGGATCATCCATACCGTAGATTGAAGAAAGCTTTTAATGGATGCAATGAGAATAGATGTTCTCCAACCCCCTTGACCGGAGAACAAGTTTACGAACGAGTGAAGGATATCAATGTTGTGTTCGGTAAATAAAAAAAAAGCTACTGATACGCGCATATGGAAGAAGAGGTCAATATTTTTTGATCTCCCTTACTGGCGCATGCTTGATGTGAGACATTGTATAGATGTGATGCACGTTGAAAAAAATGTGTGCGACAGTATAATTGGGACACTTCTAGACATTCCTGGAAAGACAAAAGATGGTTTGAATTCTCGTCTTGATCTTGTAGAGATGGGTATACGAGATAACCTAGCTCCACAACATCTAGGTAAGCGTATGTACTTACCTCCAGCTTGTCATACTTTGTCTAAACAAGAGAAAATCAATTTTTGTGAGTGTTTACATGGTGTAAAAGTTCCCAATGGCTACTGTTCAAATGTGAAGAGGTATGTGTCAATGAAGGACTTGAAACTGGTTGGTTTAAAATCTCATGACTGCCACGTCCTGATGCAACAACTATTATCAGTGGCTATTCGGGGCATCTTACCCGAGAAATTTAGGGTGGCACTAACGAGGTTATGTATGTTTTTTCATAATATATGTGCCAAAGTCATTGATCCAGGGAAGTTGGATGAATTAGAAAATGAGGCAACAATTATACTGTGTCAGCTTGAAATGTTTTTCCCCCCATCTTTTTTTGACATCATGGTTCACTTACTAGTTCACTTAGTAAGGGAGATAAGATTATGTGGCCCTGTCTATTTAAGATGGATGTACTCAGTAGAACGATACATGAAAATCTTGAAATGGTATGTAAAGAATCAACACCGTCCAGAAGCATCTATTGTTGAACGTCACGTAGCAGAGGAAGCTATTGATTTTTGTACAACCTATATCTCAGGAGTTGAAGCTATAGGGATTCCAAAGTCCCGTCATGATGGAAGATGTAAAGGTGAGGGTGCTAGAGGCTTAACATGTAAGAGCATGCCTCGGGATGATGTGTTTCAAGTGCATCTCTATATACTTAACAATTCTGAAGAGGTTCAACCATATTTGCACACTCACAAAGCTCTAGTGAAGCAAAAAAATCCATGCAAGAGTGAAAAATGGTTGCTGAATGAACACAACAAGACCTTTTTGAAATGGTTCCAAGAGCTGATTTTGAAAGAGGCTAACGTCAGTGATAGACTAAGATGGTTTGCAAATGGAATATACTTTGAAGTTATGTGTTGGGGTGGGTATAACATCAATAAATATTCTTTCTGTACAAAATTCCAAGATGATAAGAGTATCATGCAAAACAGTGGGGTGATGGTTGTGGCAGAGGCCATGCACTTTTCAAGCGCAAAAGATAAAAGTCCAGTTATGGCATCAATATCTTACTATGGAGTTATTGATGAGATTTGGGAAATTGATTACACAGGGTTCAGAGAGGTTGTCTTTAAGTGCAAGTGGGTAGACAATAAGAATGGTGTAAAAAATGATGCGCTTGGTGTTACATTGGTGAATTTGAATTCATTAGCGTACACGTCAGAGCCTTTCATCATGGCTTATCAAGCAAAACAAGTGTTTTACGTGATTGATCCTTCTAATACAAGGTGGTCAGTGTTCCTCCAAGGAAAACACCTATCTGTGAATGATGAAAACAGTGATGACGTATTTGAGATTCCGCTATCTACCCCGGTGCCTATTGAAGTTGATGATGATGAGGTGGACAATATACATGCAGCTCGTGAGGATCATGAAGAAGGAATATGGGAGAATATTCGTGTTAGTGTATGTACTTGTTTACTTATTTATTTATTCATTTATTTGTTTATTTATTTAGTTAGGTACTTATATATTTATTTATGTTAATACTTGTTATAGATGATAACTATTAATGTTATGTATGTAAACAGGAACATGAATGATCAAGAGCAAAGCGGATCAAGCAACAATAATAGAAAGAAAAAGGGTAGACATCCCACAAAGTTGAAGGCTTTGATCCGCAGTCGTGCGGGTAATTCAATTCTCTTAATTTATTATACATAACTGTTTTCATTGTTTACTTGCTCAATTTCTTTTTCATTGCAGCTAATAGGACACTACCTATTGATTTTGATGAAGATGGGAACGCAATGGGTCCAAATAAGAATGCATTTGTTAGTTTCGTGGCTCTCGAGGGGAGGATGAGAGCTAGTATACTACTCCCTAGTTGGGAAGTTGTTACGGATGGAGTTAAAAACCAGATTTGGGAGGCCATCCAGGTAACTGTTTTCATGTTCAGTTTTGACAGCTCTATTTCAGTCTAAAGCTAGATTTGACGGCTCTATCTCAATCTCACTTTTGTATTGTAGCTCACTTTTGACGTCCCTAATACTCATGAACTGAGAAGAAGATGGATATCATATGCTGGTAATAGGTGGACGGGATTCAAGACATTTTTGACATCATCTTACATATTTGGCGATCGATCTGGGGAAAACCCCACAGAAAAGTATCAATGGATAAGTGCTGAGACTTGGCAAGAGTTTGTACGAAGTAGAAAAGACCCAACTTTTCTGGTTAGAGAAGTTTTTCTTAAAGGCTTTGTTTTGTTCTGCAGATGTTTGTGTTTCTAGATTCTCATAAATCCCCTCTGTATTTATTACAAGATCACATTATCTTATTTTGAGAAGATGTTTGTGTTTCTAGTTCCAGGACTATATTGTACTAAAGTCGATACCATTAGGGTATTGTTACCTTTGACATGGTGCATTATCATCTCTTTGTGTTGTGCATGTAAAACAGGAGCGCAGGAAAAAGGCACACGAAATCCAAGCTCATAATGACTGTCCTCACATATTGTCCCGAGGTGGATATGACCTGTTAGAAAAAAAACTTATGGCTGAGAAATTAAAAGAATATGAAGAAGCTTCTCAGGCTAATCCTTCATTGGGGCTGAAAGCTCCTTCTCCCATACCCCGTCATGTGAAATGGAAGCAAGGCCGAATCAGACGAACATGCAAGTATACATCAAAGAGGTCTCTCGAGATCGGAGAAAAAATTGTAAGTCAAAGATTGATAATATTTTGACTGTAAATATAAATTGACTTGTATAACTACCTTAAAAGGGTTGTGCATTTGTGGTTCGCAGGATTCTTTAGTTGAGGAGGAAAAGCAAGGGACCTTTGCTCCCATCGGTCGTGATGATATCTTAACGGCGGCTACTGAACGTCCTGAGCACCCAGGTCGTGTACGTGGTGCTAGAACAGGTGTTGGTATTCTTTCACACTTTGGACCCTTAGCACGTCAAGGTCATAAATCCACACTTTTGACCATAAATGACGTTGATCGAATCAAGAAGGAGATGCAGCAGGAGGTAACACAACAGGTAACAATACAAGTAACACAACAGGTAACTGAACAATTGTCACGAGTATTTGCTCAGCAGCTTCAAGATGAACTTAAGAGAATGGGTTTAACCCAACAACCAGGACTGCACACAGAGGCACGCCGCACTCGTTCTCCTACACATGTCAGTACAAAAGGGAGCAATGCTCCAGAGGATATCTCTGAGTCGGATGATGAGCTATCCCGACTTTATGTGGATACCCCCTTTCACTTAGTAGCCATGGGAAAGGTATTCTAGTTATGTTATAAAAATTCTGAAATAAATTCTACGTAGCAGAACTTCCAAATGACATAAATTCTGAAATCTTAATCAGGTACACAATTTGGGTCCTACTATACACCATGAGAGAATAGATTCAGGTATTGTTAGGGTGGAGGTTGTGGAGGTTTTGGATGCATCTGCATTGGTCCTAATTCCAAGTGAAGAGGTCCAGACAGTTGGACAGGCCCCCAATCAGTTCATTCAATGGCCAAAAAGATTGGTTGACCCTCACGTAAAGGAGTGGACAAATGGAAAGGTGATAAATAAATACCAACACTTGTTAATGAAAAACAACTCTTTTATTTTAGGATATGTCATATATCAACATAGTAAAATAATAATAAAAAATTAACTGTAATAGTGTCAACATATATCTTCCATCCCCATTTTTGTTTGTGTAGGATAATGACAACCATGATGAGGACAATGCTTCTGATGAGAACAAGGGTCCAATATCACGTTTATTGACAATGACTACTCACCTTGGTCCACAACCGATAGAGCTAATCCTGAAAGAAGAAATAGTTGGGCGGTCTGCTATATCTCTTTTTGTTGGCTCTGAGGAGATATTAGAGATATGTGTGGGGAATCAAATGCTAAGTGCAGTGATTCTACAAGTATGGATAATGTAAGATGAATTTTTTGTTTTTTCTCATTGTAGTTATGTTATTAATCTTTTATGGAAGATAGAAGTTTCTTAAACTTTTTGTTATATATTTATTATGATTAACTTTACAGGCATTTGCATGGGATTTGTGTTCGAAAGGATACTGCACGCCTGTACGGTTTTCTTGACCCACATACCACTCAAGATGTGGGGAACAAGCGTGAAGATATTCAAACTTATATAATGACTCAACTGAGTGAAGGAAACAAAGAGTGCTACTTACTACCGTACTACTATCCGTAAGAGTTTTTATTTTATTATGTACTTTTCATTTTTACCCAGGTGTACTCCTACAATTTAAGCTGTCCGATATTAGGTCAGCCATACCTAATCATTTTGGATTAAATATAATTCAAGTTGTTATCGTATTTCATTGCAGTAACCATTGGCAGTTGTTTGTATTGTGCCCGAGGAAAAACTTAATTGTGTTCTTATGCTCTTTGGGGAACAAACCAAAGGCAAACATAAAGAGTACTCTAGATTTGTAAGACATAATTTTAGTAATATTAAATTGGTGAATTTATGTAATGTTTACATAACCTATAACTTCACTAACCTTTGTTTTCATTAGGGCGATGCAAGCACATCAAATGACAAAAAATAAAAGGAATTCCAAGCCGAAATGGATTAAGCCAATGGTAAATGATGTTTTTATTTATCTTCAAGTACTATAAGATGTTTATAATTTATATGTTTATGTTATGATAGATAGTGCCCTGTTTGTATAAAAAATTACATTTCAGCTTTGACTTTGTTGATTTTATGAGTCAAGTGTTCAATCGGATTGCAGTTTATTATTTCAGTTTGCACCTTATAGTTGTTTGATTATATTGTGTTATTTGAAGGGATAAAATCAATGCTACTATGTCTTGTGCAAAAAAAACATTTCAGCTTCTAGTTTATTGAATTTTTTTATCAAGGCTGCAATGTGTTCATTTCAGTTTGCAGCAACTTATTGAATAAGCTCTGATTGATATTGCACCTTATTAGTAATGTAGTTTATTTGTACTTTATTGATATTTCAGTTCGTTCTTTATTGTTTTGAATTTCAGTTGATTTAATCAAGACGTTGTATCTGTTATTTTTGGACCATGTTGGGTAATGATGGAATTTTCAATTGTGTACTGTATAATATATATTGACTTGATGCCTTATTTATTTGCAGTCACGAATGCAAAGAGGAAGTTTTGAATGTGGATATTATGTTATGAGACACATGACTACTATTATTTCTGCCAGTGTTGTGGATTCGTGGATGGAGGTAATAAATTATTACTCATGTTTCACTATATTTTTGTCTTTATTTCTTTTACTTAATTTTTACTTATTGGTTTATTGTTTTATTGATCTTGTAGATATTCAATGTTCAAGACCCATTTAGTGAACAAGACATCAACGAGATTCGAGAGCGTTGGGCATTGTTTTTCTGCGAAGCAACTAGCATTTAGTATTTATTTAGTAGAAATTAAACATTGTTAGCATATTAGAAAGTGATATGCAATTTTGTTGCAACTTACCAACTCTTGAATTTTGATGGTGTAAAATGATGTTTAATTTTTGCTAGTAAGATTAATACTATATATGATTTTTGGATATTATGGTTGTTTTGTGAATATTATTAAATAATGGTTTTGTAAAAACAGCATTCATAAATATAATATGTTTAAAATGTAATGCAAGCTGACAAACCTTTCAATAACGGTTGATATTTGACTGACATTGAACGTATTTAATAACGGTTACATTGCGGAACCCATACGGAAAGTGCTGTACAAAGACAACGTGTGTGAAGGACATTCGATAACGGTTGGATTTCAGCCGACATAGAATAAATTCTATAACGGTTGCGACAACCGATATGGAAAGCGCCCGAGTTTCTATAACCATTGGAACAATGTCGGTTCCCGAACCGTTATAGAATGTTGATTTTAACCGTTATAGAATGTGTTTTTCCCACTAGTGATTAGTCATGTCCAACATCCCGTCCTCCACCTATTCTTGAAATTCCTTGCCAATTGCTTGCTTGGACGTCCCAACAACCATCATACTAGGATGGGGGATGTATGCCTAATGTCTGTGGCCCTATTCCATGTTCACGTGAATTTCAACCTGTGTAATCTTATGTGGGCACATCTTAAAAAGGAAAGCATAGCCAAGGGCGCTATTGTGGTGGGTGGGGTGATTATGCACTTAGCCACCAAGTTCGGGTATACGGATAACTCTCCTATACCCGACTACTGTTTGATGAACATCTCTTGGTTGGGCCACTCGGGATGTACATCTTTTTCCCACACAGTTTATGGTGTAGAAAGACCAAAGAACATGTACAACTGGCTCATACACCCCAAGCCTCTCAAATACTTCCTCCTGCCCAACCAGGAACTCCCCAAAATCCGCTACAAAGAAGCAGTAGAGGAGCCCTCTTACCTCTTCCCACACGCCCTTCCACCCCATCTCTAGGAACCGGAGCAAGAACCGCCCCAATACCAACCCGATTACGAGTCCTATGCTCAACTCCATAGCCATCAAGACATGGGCAATGACATCCTCGAACAAAACCAAAACCATCCACCACGCGACTTCTTTCAACAACTTTTGAAGGGTCAACAATAATTGCTTACGGTGTACGCTAAAATGAACGCAAACTACATGGCTATGGACAACCGGCTCAACCAAATACAGGAGGAGCAAAGGGCCGGTTTTCAGCGATTGGAGGAGCTCAGGGAAGCCGATAGACATCGGTATGAAGAAGACCAACATAGGTTCTACGGACCTATGTACTCTTACATGACACAACAGGGATCTTTTCATACCGTGGCAAACCCCCCTCCACCACCCTCGTGGTATGACCCCACTCATTGGGGTAACTTTGGAGGATCTGGCTCCGGGGGTGGAGGGTACGACGGCGGAGATGGCGGGGACACATATATGGGAGATGGTGGGCAGGGGAGCGGCTTCGGAGGGAGCTACTACGGCGGAGAAGGCGGGCACTAGGGACAGTGCTTGGTTCAAGTGCGGGGGAGAGACTCATCATGGTATGTAATTTTAATTTCCACCTAGCACTATGCATGTAATTCTTTTGAACTATTTACACACACAAAAAAAGAGAATAAATAAAAGAAAATAAATGCTAGTTAGGTTGAAAACCCAACAAAATGGGCAATCTAAGAAAAAAAGGCTTATATAAATAAATGAGTGAGTTGGGGAGAATGGAAAATGAAAAGAGATGCTAGGATGAAAACCTGAAAAGGCTCCTAGGTAAAATGAGAGATATGAGAGAAATGTTTGTTTTTGCAGGCACCCATTGTATCTCTTTGAAGAATAAGAAGATTCAGAAAACAAAGAAGAAGAAGAAGAAGAAGAAGAAGAAGAAGAAGAAGAAGAGAGGAGGAGAAGAGAAGATGAACACTAGAAGGCCGTAAAACCCAAGATGTTCTTTGTAATTTGGGTTTAAAACTCATTTTTGTCATCCTTGGTGGTCTTTGTGTTTGTATGTTTTTTGTAAAATGTGGAAACTTTGGAAAAACTTGACACTTGTAAACATTTGATCTTACTCGAGACGAGTAAAAGTTTAAGTATGGGGGAGTTGATACATTTGTAATTTCCATATGTATGTTTGTGTTTTTAATTAGTTTTGCTTGATCTTTACTTTGGAAATTACACACTTTTGGTGTAATAGATTAGTTTGTTAAATTCTTGTAAATAGTTTAGATTAGGTATATTCTGAGCTCAAACAGGTCTTGATCACTCAAAGCACAGTTGGTGAACCCAAAAAGTGGAAAGAAGGTGCATAATTTGAAGACAAAAGAAGGATCCTGAATTTTGGTCTATACTCGGTCGAGTATTACCTATACTCGATCGGGTATTAGGTTGAAACTTCAAATCGGATCAGATCCGAAGACAAGGGAACATGCCGGGAGGATTTCGGCCACGATTAAATGTCTATACCCGATCGGATAGACCGACATACGCGATCGGGTATGCCTTTGAGTTTTAAACGAAGATCGGTCGAGTATAGCTCGAATACCACTTTCTAAGCATACTCGACCGGGTATAAACATATACCCGATCGGGTATACCTGTGGAAAATAGCCTAAAACCGATCGAGTATACCTCGAATCGGGTATTACACACATACTCGATCGGGTACCATGTATATACCCGATCGAGTACCCGAATCCCATCCCAAAAGCCTATAAATACACCCCCTTTCCTTCACAAATAAATATCCAATTCCTTTGTATATCTAAGCTCAGTATAGAATAGTTCTTTCTTTATATTTTTCATCATGTTTAGTCTCCAAATGAGGAGCTAAACTCTTCCATCTTGGTTTTGCTACTTTGAAGCTTAATGAATTTGTAAGTTGTGAGTTATTTTATTTAATCTTCTTTCTTGAATATTAATTTTTCCTTTAAAATACTATTTCTATATCAAAGTTGGGGAGTGTTACTAAGATGACAATTAGTAAACATCTTGATATTAATCATAGTAGGATTCATATTCTTTAATATTCTTCCTTGAGTATTAATTAATTCCTATTCATATTTCATGTTAATATTTTAAACATTACTTAAAGTATCAACTAGTATTGTTTCTCATATTAATTATTACTAGAATCGATCGGTTAATACGCTTGTTATTAATCCGGTTCTTTCAACGGTAGTAAACATGGAATATTAATGCGTGCATCTCATGGTTAATATGCCAAGGGGAATTAATTATATTGATTAAACCAATAAACCGCTTGTGTTGAGGTTATCAATCTCAATCGTTTTCATCTTAAGTTTATTACTACTATCAAGTTAATATACGACGCTTGTTCTATATTGACTCGATAGTAAATTTTATTAATGAACGCATCTCGTTATTAATAACTACCCTCGATGAACTGGAAATACTCCTCGATTGAGTATTCGAGAGGAAGATAGTTAAAGATATAACCGGGATCGACGAACATTTCATTAAGTGGATAAAAGCAAAACCAAGCCACCACATCTATTAATCAAACTCATATAGGTTGTTCATCTTAGTGTTTTTAAATCAAACAAATCTAAACCCCCCTTGTTACTACTTATATTGAAGAAAAGTATTCCTTTCCCTGTGGATACGAACCTTACTTCACTATATTACGTATTAGTGTTGTATTGTAATTATTTTGAGTGCACCTCACGACAAGTGCACGTCACGACCACATCACCCCCAACTATTCATCCATACTATAAATACTAGCATTTATTTCACTGTAAAGGGTTAGCAAATTTGTACTCACAACAATGTATTGATTTTAGTCCTTGTATTAGCCTTATATTCCGAAGATCCCGTTTGGCGGCTTCGGCCATTTCCTTTGTAACTACATATCTGCTTCAATACAATTGGTTAATTGAATCTTCTTGTTCTTAATCATCCTCATTCAACTCACATTAACCCTTGCATTCCAACGATATCCAAAGGAACGTGTTGGGCCTTTGGACTTGGAGGAATAAGCTTCAAGAAAACTTAACTATATACAACATCAAAAAGATTTATGATCAAGTGAGAAAGAGATTTTAGGAGAGAAATGAGAATCAATAATGATGGAGTAATGGGACTAGGCCCAGAGCCTAATCAGCCCAAGCCTCGAACTGGGACCCATGGATCCAAGTCCATAACCTGGAGCCTGCCTGCCAGCCCGGCGGGGAGCCTGCCAGTCCGGCCGACCTCCTAGCCCGAAAGAGTAACGGTCGAACAATTAATGCGCTATTAATGATGTATTTAATTCCGTATTAATGTTGTAATTAATTAGTCATTATTATCGGTAACGGTTACGATTTGTATACGCCTATAAAAAGCGGGTTGTAATTCAGATTAGGGGAAGCAACTTCTATATGCTATTTCTGGCTAACTTTCCATATTCGTACTTTCCTGATTCTTGCTCGAGTGTCGTACGTAGCTTTCCTAAAAGCCTACGAGCGTCCTATTTTGGACCAACAAATAAGAACCCTTTTTAGGGCAAATAAGGGATTTGTCTAGTCCATTA